AAAAATAATCTCAACCTTATTTTGTTGTACAAAATAGGACATTCCGTTAAACTGCCACTAACAACTTAACGTCGTCCCAAAACACAAAAATTTCAGTAATGTTGGGATTATTATGCATTACAGTGAAAGGTGGCATTATTTTTAAAAGACAGAGTAAAGTTGAGATTATTTTGGATAATTTTTTCTTTTTTAATATATACTTTTTATTTTTTATTCAATACCATTTTTTGTGTATATTTATTTGTAAATAATTTTAATCAAACATCGTAAATTAACATGAATTTTATTTTGAGATGGATGGAGTATTATTTAATTAATACCTAAAGATGTACTCCCCTTGTCAATGTTGGCATATTATTATATACTCTAGAGTCGACACTTATTTTATGAATCTTAGTATATAAATATCTTGTAAGAATTGGATTCTTTGAAAAAATAGAAAAGATTTTTATATCGGCTCATAAAAAATTTGAAAAAAATCCATAATTTAGATTTTAACTTTGAGATAATGAAAGCACTAATCTCTATCATGTAAAAACTTCTTTGGCTTACTAAAATAATGGAAAATGAAAGGAAGTGATTTGTTTAGGACAGGCCAAAAATAAAATAATAAAATTTTGTATAGAAGGACTGAAGGAGTAATTAAATTGGAGAAATATAGTGGGTGAGGTTTTTATTTATTTATTTATTTTTATATTTTAAGGATGAACCCAACAACCCAAAAAGACCATTGTCTATTTTGCTTTTGGAATTGGGAGGCCATTAAGGAGCCAACGTGGCAAATTCGGGCCAGACACACCAAGAGTCCTCTAGATATTTTGCGATGATCTCTGTAACACTCCGTACCAATTTACTTGAACGCCATTAGGCGTATAAACAAGGACTTTGATTCTCCACCGTTAGATCGCGGAAGCAGCTGAACTACTTTGCGTTTCCACCGTTGGATCACTGAAGCGACTGTGCTCTCTCCCATTCCGGAGATATTTTTCTACAGCCTTAACACAGGGAGAGAATAATAATCTTTGCGTCTCTTGGTTTCAGTTGATCTTTATCTTGCAGTTGCTCCGAAGACCCATCATCGGAAAATGGGCGAAACTGCGGTGAGTAGTGTCGGCGGAGGTGCAGTTGAGCTGGACCGTCTGAAAACAGAGGGGATTGAATTGCTGCCGGCGGCGGAGCAGAGGAAGGCCGAGGAAGGAGACGGGTCGGGGCCCGCAGCCGCGGAGGTGGAGGCGATGGTGAGGTGGGAGAGATTCTTGCCCAAAATGGTTCTCAGAGTGTTGCTGGTGGAATCTGATGATTCTACCCGGCAGATCATCGCTGCTCTTCTCAGGAAATGCAGTTATAAAGGTTAAAATACTCGAAATCGACTCTAATTACTCTCCGATTATTCACACTATGAATATGGAATGATATATTTATTTAGGATTCTGCAATTTTCTTATGTGGCAGTTATGACATTTTCTTGTTAGCTGGTTTATGTTTTGTTTTTCTTTCATTAAAGATCTGGGTTTTGCCCCCCCTCAAAGTTCTTTCCTTTAACAATTTTGATTTGGCGAGACAATTTAGACCATATGGCTTCTAAAGTCTGAATTTGATGAAAAGCAGCTCAGGGCTTCTTATGATTTTTGCAGTTGCTGCAGTTGGTGATGGTTTAAAGGCATGGGAAGTGCTAAAGAGGCGGCCCCGAAATGTAGACCTCATTTTGACAGAAGTCGATCTGCCCTCGATCTCTGGATATGCCCTTCTCACACTTATCATGGAACATGAAATCTGCAAAAATGTTCCCGTTATAAGTATGTTTTTTACTAGTCATTATCAGCTGCAATGCTCTTTATACATGTGGCTTACTTAATTAATCAGTTATTTGTCGCTCTGCATCCGTGTTACAGTGATGTCTGCACATGATTCGATTAGTACTGTCTATAAATGCATGTTGAGAGGAGCGGTTGACTTTCTTGTCAAGCCATTAAGGAAAAATGAGTTGAGGAACTTGTGGCAGCATGTATGGAGGAGACAAGTTGTAAGCAAATAATACTTAAGTCTCGTAAATTATCTCTTTCAAATTCATTGTTCAGGGAGAGAACCTCGTTTTCTTATATGTATTTCACTCAGTCAAGCAGAATTGGGCATGGACAAGGTGAGGAGAGTGTCGTGCAACCGAAGGTCGAAGCCACTGCTGAAAATGATGCTTTTAGTAACCATTCAAGTGGTTTTGAGGTTTGTATTGAAAGGAATAGGGAATGCATTGAGAAAGGAAGTGATGCTCAGGTAGAGCTAATCCTCCTCTTCAGTACTCCTTACATTGAAAATATTGTTTCACACATTTTGAGCCATATCGTGTTTCTTTTATTTCATGGTCATACCCAGAGCTCTTGCACAAAGCCAGAAACTCAAGAACCTCATCCAATTGCTTTGGATGTTCAGTTGAGGGATCCCGACAATCAAGTGGAAGGTGAATTTATTTTTGCAGTTCTATCTTGGGAATCCTTTGTTGTTCTTTCTGTTATGTGTATGCGGGCGATATTGTCTAACTTGTCCAATGTAATGCTACACTGCAGTAGCTAGTGGAGAAGACAGGAGTTCCTATGAAGCTAGAATGGCATCTTCTAAGCAGGCCATGAGTTTGATTGGATCATTTGATAACTACACGAAATGCAATTATGTTTCTGGTTCAAATGTTGGTGAAAACAAGGTTGCTTCTTCTTCTCCTCCACTGGAACTTTCCTTGAAGAGGTATCCTAGTGGTTCTGTCAACCAATTTCCAGATGAGAAGCATAGGTTGAAGCATTCAGATGTGTCCGCCTTTACTAGGTGAGTTTTCTTGTTTCTCACAAGTGCCCATTTGATTCTAGCAAGCCTTTTACTGGACTTATTTTACTGTCCTGGCTAAACAGTTGAACATAATTTTTTTTTTTTCATGAAAGGAAAGGAAAAGATTTTTATACCCTATACCCTCTTTTTAATAAATTGCTCTCTTTGATTTATTAGAAAACAATGAGTATATTGGAAGTTACATAACAAACTATATATGCAGATATGTTAGCAAGGGGGTGCAGCACAGAGAATTGACAAATCAACAGAAAGACGATGGTCATAATTCTGATTCTCATGGCCCAACTATGAGCTCCCAAAGACATCTCCAAACCCCAGTAAGCAACGGTGTGAGGTTTGATGGTCTAAGCAATAACTCCTACGGTTTTATGGCTTCTTCGTTGCAGTGTCCAGTCTCAGCTACCCCACAGAATTCTCCTTTCCAGGAGCACCCGTTTAATTGCTTTAATAATCAAGCTATGCACTCCCATCAGCAGTGTAACGGTTTAAGTGATCATAATGTCACTTCGGGCATCACTCAGACCGAACTGGGACATGTTCCATCTCCAACTGATCAAAGTGCAAACAACAACATCTGCAATGGTGTCATGAACTGGCACCATACTTCCATCAAACCTACAACTGAGTATAGGATGGAACAAGTTTCTGCTGTCCAAGACGCCAACTCCCAAAAGTTACTACGACAGGCTGCACTCAACAAGTTTCGCTTGAAGAGGAAAGACAGATGCTTTGAGAAAAAGGTGTGTTATTGTTGTGTGTGTGGGGGGGGGGGGCACATATGCTACTTGTACCCCAAGGTTTTGTACCCCATTTGTACACCGCAAGTGTGCACCAACATTTTATGTTGGTGTAATGCTAATTTTTGTCAAAGCACCAACACTTTGTGTCAATGTAATTTTTGTTAACGCACCAACACTTTCTGTCAGTCAGTGTGAACCATCAAAATGTTGGAGTATACCTTTGGTGTAAGTTTGGGGTACAAATTTTGGTGTAAATGTAGCATGGTCCTTGAAAATACTGATAAATCGACCAATCTTTGGATTTGGTAACAAACAGGTAAGATACGAAAGCAGGAAGAAGCTTGCGGAGCAGCGTCCAAGAGTGAAAGGACAGTTTGTTCGCCAATTTCCAAGCGAACCGCCACCGGGTGATGCATCAACTGGTTAGCATTGCGAATCATTTATTCATTACCATATAATTCGTCTCAGCGAATGTGCATTTGGAAATGTCAGCAAGGGGTTGGCATGACAGTGTAGAGAGATATAGATGAGTTTTTTGGGTTAGAATATGGAGAATATATAGTTAGGAGTTCATTCACTCCTTGTCTAACCTGCTTGTTTCTATAGGTTTTTATGTACCCCCGGGGAACCTTTCTCTAGACCAGCGGGTTTTGAACACTCGTTTTGAAACGTAAAGGAAAATAGAAGTTGTATTTAAAGGCTTTCTTACAAAACAAATACTCTGTACTAATGTTCTGTACAATTCCTAGGGTTAATTAACACTTAACACACATGATATTTGTGTTGTGCATTGCTTGGAAACCTTTGAATAAAAATGCCATTCCCCTAAGAATCCATTTGGTTTTTTGGAGCAAAATGCAATGGCAAACATAAGTTTGGGCTAAAATATAACTTGCCAGGAAATCCGCACTCAAATGCAAATCCATAATCAGTGGTTTACCGAGTACTCCGTACATGTTAATGTTAATTCTTTATTTATTATAATGTAATGATAGTTTAGATGAATATTTAATACTCCGTACTTTATTTATCTGAGTTTGGTTATTCATTTTTTTAATTTTTACTCCGTATTTGTCTAGAAGGAGCTGTTATCTAAAAAAAATATCATACATTTGAAAGTATGATCCGTACATTTTAATATTATAAAGAGAGTGTACATAACTATTCACCGCAGATCACATGTTCCACAATTTACCCGTGAGAAAATGCATTTTACTCCACTCCCTGTAATGTTCATCTTGCACAATTTCTCTTGAAAGCCTCCAACTATAGAACATATGCAAGTTGGTCCTTTTGATCGGATATATGGTAGAGTGATGATATTGATCTCTCTTTGATGAAGTGAAGGTCAATCTCAATGTGTTTGGTGTAATCATGTTGCACAGGGTTCTCATATATACTTATAGCTGCAGTATTGTCACACACTATTCGACATTTTCCTCTTGGTGGATATCACAATTATTTAAGGAACTTTCAAAGCGAGAGAACTTTCGTAGATCCTCGAACAATGCTGCTAAACTCTGCTTCTGCACTTGGTAATGCAACACCATTTTGTTTTTTGCTTTTCCCCGTGACTAGATCACCTCCAACAAGAGTAAAGTAACCTAAGATAGATATCTTATCATTCAGATTTTCTGCCCAATAAGCATCTGTGTAGGCTTGAATACCTATCTGCTGGTATAATACTCTCTTTGTCCATTAATTTCTTTCTCATTTTCCTTTTTGGATCGTCTAAATTTTATTTCTCGTTTCTTCTTTTGGCAAATTTTTTTTAATGAATGTACCATTATACCCCCACTTTTTATCTACACTATTCACTTTATTCAATCACATCAAGGTTAACACATGTAAAATCTTTATACTTTTTAACTTTTCTTAATCTCGTACCAAGTCAAACCAGAAAAGAAATTTTTGGACGGAAGGAATATAACATTTGAGAATTGTGATAGTGCATTTTAATTTTTAGACACGTGATTTTTACCCTTCATTCCTTCATTCTTCATGCAGGACATCTCAGGCAGCATGAAAATAAAAGTGTAAGACTCTGTTTGATATATGAAATTCAAATTATAAAATTTAAATTGGGAATAACAATTATTACATTGTTGTTTTGGTATCACAAATATGTGGGTTTAGAATTGATAATGCCAAAAATGAATTGAAAATGGAGAATTCAATTTCACTCAAATGAATCGTGTGTAGAATTTTAACTCTCTTACAATTCCATCTCATTCCGTGCACCAAAAGGACACTAAATTGAAGTAATTTTCCTAGCCGTCCTTCAAGAAGCCAAATCAGCCTTGAAGAGTAGTAAGAGGACGGGTGCAGAACCGCCTTCAAAGAAAGCCCACCTTTCTCGCCGACGTAGTCGCCACCGCACTATCCATATTCACTCTCTTCTCTTCTTCCAAATCGGCCAATACCATCCTCCAGAAACTCTCACCCCTCACCCCGTTCCCTAAAATCGCCGCCATGTTCTTGCCCGCTTCGAATGGACTCAGAAACCCTAGCCTCACTTTCCCGACCCCGCAGTCCCTCTCCGATTGGCTCAACCCCCGTTTGCCATCGGACTCTTTCGCCTCTTGGGGTGTAAAGCCCGGAACCAAGAACGTCATCAACCTCTGGATTGAAATCTCTGAGGGCGAATCCTCCCTGTCCGATTCCGTGCCTCCGATCCGGACGCTGGAGGTCGTTTCAGTCCGGGTCATTCGGAAAGACAACAAAGTCCTCGTCGAATCGCACCAGGAATTGTCCGACGGCAGTGTCAGGAACCGAGGCCGGCCCCTGTCCGAGAAAATGAAACCTTGCGAGAGTGTCGAATCTGCTGTTCTTCGTGCAATTAAAGAAGAGCTAGGCCAGATAGTTGGCCGGGACTCTGATTTTAAGGAGATTGTGAGAATACGACCCAATTCGTATGCGAAGAAGGTGGAGGAGAGGGTTTCGGTGTCATACCCGGGGTTGCTGGCTCGCTATGTCCTGCACACCATTGATGCCACAGTTGAAGGTCTCCCGGAAGGAGATTTCTGGACTGAAGAGGTAGAAGAATACGAGGGTCTTGGCGATAGAGGAGTCGCTGAGGGAGCTATTACATGTAAAAAACATGTTTGGAAATGGGTCGATTCATATTCGGTTTGACTCTTTGCTCCTTGATCAGGGGTTGGTTGTGTACTCTTAGCAATGTATGACAGTATGAGTGCTCTTCATTCTCTGATAGCCTTATATGCAGCAATGTAAGAAATGCTGGAACGATTATGCTCAAATCTATACAGTGTTTATGAGTTCAATATCAACTATCAGGATATCAAAGTTTCCATCTGCGCACAATCCAGTGAGCTTAAGACACGTTCTGCTGGATATGCTGTGATATTTGGTATGTTTCCAGACTACCTTTAACTTCTCTCTTTCTTTTTCGATTCATATTTCATTAATACGTTCTGCTGGATATGCTGTGATATTTGGTACGTCTCAGCTAAGCTCTTGCAGGGAGAGTTGAGTGCGGATCCAAAGCCAAGCCATTAATCTCAAAGTACTGTCTAATAGGGAATTAAGGCCAGGTCTTTAGTTTTTGTTTAGACAGTAGGGCTTGAAGTTAATGCAGGGTTAACTAAGGGCTACTAGACTTGTAGGAGAGGTGGGGAAGGGTAGAAACTACTCAAGGGCCTACTCTTCCACAACTTTGGCTTAAGTCTAGTTTAAATAACCTTGAAATTAATTATTTGGCAAGAATTTGATTCCATTACTCCTCAACATCAATCCAAGTCCTTTCTCTTATTATTTGAATAAGTATCTCTCTTCTCTGTTCTATTTCCTTGAACACTCTAACAAATACTTTGAATTCCTTCTACTGTTACTTTTTATACAAACTTCTTCAACATTCTGTTAAACAAAGAACCCCCCCCCCCCCCGCCTGTGTGTGAGTGAGTTCTTATTATAGATTGTTATACACCTTTTACTTTATAGTTAAGAGAAGTATTTTCATTATACTTTCCCTGAGGAAATGCTCCCTTCTTACCACTATCCTATCTTTTATTATAGGTAAAGGTTAAAAAGGGTTTGAAATTTGTTTATACAATATCTCCGGACCTGTTGGGCTACACTGCTTAGATAACGCAGTGGAAATAAAAAAATTGTATCTAAATGCTATTGTCTTACGAAAACTTTAAATTATTGTTAGAAGAATACATTATCTTTTGCAGAAACCAGATCGGAAGGTGTCATGGAGGGATTGGTGTAACGAGCAAGTTACAAAAGAGTTAGAAACAAAATCAAACTCTTTCCTTACTCTTCCTCATTTTCAGCCCTACCTCAATTTAATATTCTAATTTATTTTGTCATCTTTAATTATCATAAAATAACAACAAAATAAATAAGATATATATTTGTATACCAAGATTTGGTTCGATACACACACACATATCACCATGTTTTTATGTATGCCTAAAATATGTATTATATTTTATTATTAAATACGGAGTATCATTTTGACAAATTTAATTGTCATATAATTTAAATGTCAAAATAAAATTTCCAACTACTTATTTACGTCACATGTAAATAATATTATTCACTTTTAATATTTTACTTCGTTCAATTATTCTATGTGTGTGACCCTTTTAACTATTTATAATGTCGACAATAATATTAATTCTAATTCATAATTAATACTCCCTCCGTCCTCCTAAGATGTTCTCATTTTGACTTTTGGTGGTTTTTAAGGAGAGTTGAAAAAATTTGAAAGTTTACCATAATACCCTTAATGAAAAATGGGTGGAGTGTATTAAATGAGGTGAGTGAGGTGTAATAAATAAAGTAAGTGGGGGTAGTTGTGGTATTTTAATTGTAAAAAAATGAAATGAGAAGATCTATTGTGGACAAAGAAAAAGGGCTATTGGGAAGATCTATGGGGGACGGAGGGCTTATTATAAATGATAAGCGCTATCTAGCAACACATCATCACTAACCAAGTTATAAACAATATGTTCATGGCAACAATACCTCAAATGACAAATGTCATTTGTATAACTCTTGTCCCTTTACTTCCAACATCATGATTTAACACAAGGTATGAGAAGTATATCCTTATTAGAGTTAAACTTTTTAACACGGAGTATTAGTATCACATATATTAATTTATCCAGGTATGACCATATACTTCCAAAGTCACATAAATCAGTGGACCCAAAGATATTACACTTTATCACAATGGAAGGGATAAATTCTTTCTATGTCATTCACACCTTTACATATGCTTAACTACATACCCAAAATATAACTGTGCGTCCACCAGTATTTCAGATGACATTAGTTATTAACCAAATCATGTAGGACAACATATTTAAGATCGTAAGACCTCAAATATAAGAATAGTTATATTAATGGTTGAATGAGAATATTGCTAACACATTAAAATAATACTCATATAGTATTCTCATGGTGGGTTAGTCCAGTACCAGATCTCTAGATATGTACTTACATATAGATTGAGATACCAATATCCATAGTCTATGAGACGCAGCTATCTTGTCTCATACGTATTAGTCTTAGTACACTATGACGTCCATATTAACAAAATATTCGACTAAGGACATTTTAGACATAGCTTCTATAAAAGTGACAGTCTCATAGTCAGAACTGTGACGCTCCGAAAAAAGATCTATCAGAATTAATTAATTGATAATTAATTAATTACTGAGATAAGACCCCAAAAATAAGTGATTTATAGAGTTTGACAATCAGGGAGAGGCGTATAAAATCAGACAAAATTGCATTACCTCCACTGGGAATCTCCTTCATTCTTACACCAAAATTCAGCATTTTCATTCCATTGTGTTCTTGAGAGTGAGGAGAGCAAGCCATAGTAGTTCGCCGCTGTCGGAACTGCCAGAGTTAGTCGCGGTGGTTGCCGGAAGTTTCGCTGTAAAATTTCCATTTTCGTTGTTAAATTAAAGTTTGGTAGCTTAAACAGTTACTCCCTCCATCCAAAAATTATCTTCCCGTTGCACGTTATGATGTTTGATTGAAGTTATTTTCAAATCATTTATATGAAAAGTGTTGTAGAATTAAAAAAAATAAAAATTACATACTCCCTCCGTCCATAATTAAAGTTCCCACTTTCCTTTTCAGTTCGTCTATAAATAATGTTCCCATTTCCTTTTTTAGTAAGTTTTCTTTGTTAAAATGACTTAAGTGCCTTTCCTATTTCTTTTATTTCTTTTTTCTTATCGTTCCTTCCTGCGGCAGCCCCCCCCCTCCCTTTCTCTTTCTTCTCCTTTCCTTTTCTTTTGTGTCCTTTCTTCTTCTTCTTCTATAGAAACTTCCCATTCCATCTCTCCTTTTTCTTCCCTTCTTCTGATTTCTCTTCTCTCCTCCTCTTTTTCTTCTTGTTCTTATTTCCTTCTTCTTCCTCTCTCTTTTCTTCCCCCCCTCTTTCGATTCCACCGACCTTTTTTTCCTCCTCGTTCTTCTTCTTCCTCTCTTATTTTTCTTTCTTTTCTTCTCACCTCCACCCTTTGGATTTGGTCCAGCCGTCCTCCATTTTCATCTCTTCTTATTTCTTTTCCTCTTTTCGATTTGATCGCTCATATCTCTGTCTGTAAGGAGATTAGCGGCGAGGAAGGATCTTCTTCTTCATCTTCAGATCTTCTTCTATTCTTCCATCACGGTGTGGGATAGCTCGATTTGGGTCTGAAAAGATGCCCACGCGAATTCTAAAATGTTGAGGCTGGGCAAAATTTTCTCTAGCCGGAAATTTGACTATTTGGGTTGCCGGAATTTTGTTCTGGCCGATTGGGTTGGGGGCAGTAATTTGGGCAGGAATGCAGGATAGGAATGGGTGGGGAAGTGGGGTAAGGTGGAGGGTATTTTGGGAAAGTCAAGGAAATTTTTACATTTTTTTAAAGTGCGTGTCCGGTCAAACCGGGAACTTTAATAATGGACGGAGGGAGAATAAAAAAACTACTTAAAAAAATCTACAAAACTAAAGGTGATATGACTATATTATTTTATCAAATGGACAATGAAAATAGGCCTACAAAATAGAAGCCGGCGTGGACTCTTGGAAGCTAGAACGGACCACTTGGAGACCGGTATGGACCCTTTGAAGCTGAAACGGACCACTAGAGGCCGTCATGGACCCTTGGAAGCCGAAATGAACCACTAGAGGCCGGCATGGACTCTTGGAAGCTGGAACGGACCACTTAGAAGCTGGCGTGGACCCTTAGAGTTCGGTGTGGATCCTTGGAAGCTGGAACAGACAACTTGGAGGGCAGACCCTTAGAAGCCGAAACGGACCACTAGTGGCCGACATGGACACTTGGAAGCTGAAACAGACCACTTGGAGGCCGGCAAGGACCCTTGAAGTCTGGAACGGACCACTTGAGGCAATCATGGACCGCAAGAGTGAGGGAGCTCGCCGGACGGATAAGGGTTGACTTTTCCCTGCCCTTCATCTTTCTACGCTTCTCTCTTTCCTAGCCAATCTCATATCTACTCTCCTTTATTTTTTTACTCAGTACTTTCACTTTTTTTAAAGTACCTCTCCACTTTTTCTTTGTTCTTTTTTTAAAGAAAAAACTTTCTCTCCCACTTTTCTATCTCTTTTTTTAGAGACTCGGAACAAGTAAACTTTTGTACTCGAGTCCCACGGTGGCGCCAGTGATGAAAACTGCTTTTTTGGGACGTCAACCCAATGAACTCGTTATCGGGTCGGCACCGCACCCAATGGTGAAATCTGATAAATAAATATAAATAAATAAATAAAGCAGGGAGAAAGTATTTATACGTGGAAATTCAAATCGGGAGAAAAGCACGGGCTCTTTTAGGCGGTACCATGCCAAGGCAAAGAGCTTTTATTAATCTTGAAGGAGTTTACATATACATGAGTGTAAGAGTTTGGAGTCATTACTAGAGCTCCAAGCTTGAAGAGGAAGCTAACTAGTATGTGGAGTATGAGAATGTAGACCACGACCTCCTCCTCTTTACGTAGCTCCGCCTCTTTTATACTCCCTCCGTCCTATAATGATCTTCCCGGTTCGCAAAACGAAGAAAAATCCCAAGTTTTTTCAATCTATTTTATTTAAATATTGGTATAGAAATAAAAAATAAAACATACATATTTAAAAACTACACCAAAAGTTCAACAAAACAAGTGGTGACAAGAATATTTTATTTTATCATATAGGCCATGAAAAAACACAAATAAATATAAATTCCTGTGAAGTTGGAATAATGCTCTGGGAAGATCATTATAAGANTAGACCACGACCTCCTCCTCTTTACGTAGCTCCGCCTCTTTTATACTCCCTCCGTCCTATAATGATCTTCCCGGTTCGCAAAACGAAGAAAAATCCCAAGTTTTTTCAATCTATTTTATTTAAATATTGGTATAGAAATAAAAAATAAAACATACATATTTAAAAACTACACCAAAAGTTCAACAAAACAAGTGGTGACAAGAATATTTTATTTTATCATATAGGCCATGAAAAAACACAAATAAATATAAATTCCTGTGAAGTTGGAATAATGCTCTGGGAAGATCATTATAAGACGGAGGGAGTAATTACGAGGAATCAATGTATAGGGAGATAGTGTGCTTGCTTCCATGTGAGGTTCACATGGCCTCTATGTGATGAAATTTCTCGAGTTCCACTGGATATCTTTACATCACTTCAAATATACTCTTCTGTTCATATATCTCTGCTCCGTCTTGAATAATTTATTTGATTTTTATCTTGGGCTGAACTTAATTGAGTTTACTTGTACTATTCAAATAATATTAGATTGGATAAAATCCCTAATCTATCATGCAAATTTGCAAATTTTTTCAAAATTTTTGAAATAACTATTTTCAAACAATTAATTTTACCAAACGTTTTAATGATCAGCCAACACATCGAGCTAGTCAAACGACTTAAACTAAATAGCCATTCAGAACAGCTGAAGCAAACAACCAAGATGCGACAACCAACATCCAAGGAAGGTCTTAACTTCTTGAAGTTAAATGATGAATTTTATTATAGGATGAAAAAAGTATTATATCTTTGACACACCAATTTTGGGAAAAAGACCTTTGTAGGAGAAAAACATGAATGAAGAACTAAAATAGGATTTTAATGTTTTTATGCCAAAATAGACTAAAATTAAAATAAAATAGAACCCAACACACTTTTCTCCCTTCCCTCAACACCTAAACCGACAACTCTAAAACTAAAAAAACAAGTCAACAAGGGCGCTCCACTACAACTTGCTGCCTATGTCGACCCATTGCCACAATCATTGTTGC